GTCAAGTGTAATACATAGCATTAAAGGATAATATAAACAAATTTTTTAAATCTTTTATTCACATATTCATTATTGTGTTTGGCTTCGCAGAAGTTTTAACTTGATACGTAATCTCAGCGTTCTTCATTCTATATTTTCTATTCATTATTTCTCTCATTAGTACATTTTTAACGTGTCGCGTAAGGTGATGAATTCTCGCATTTCTTTTTAATGATAGATTTTAAGCAGCTAGACAGAATTGCGTGTGAAAAAGTGCAGAATGCGAACGAAAGATGATTATGGGCAGTCAGTCACAATGTACTATTGTGGCACGCTCTGGAACGTGACGTTATTCTTTTGTCACAATTTTGTCACAATTCTAGATTCGTGATATCGCCTTCTATTCAAAAAACTATCAAATTCACATTTTTTCAAAAATGAGTTATGTCGAACGGTAATAGTGTATACAGGAACGCATTTAAGGCTGGAGCGTAGATTTTTGAATAATGCATAGTGCATAAAAAAATCAACCAATCAGAGTCTTTTATTTTCGTGGAAAGGAAAGAAATGAAGAACTTTGATTGGTACATTATATATTATGCGTTATGCAAGACTCTGTGCTCCCATCCTTATTCTTCTTAATCTATAAAGAGAAGAAATGCTTAAGTGTTTAATCTTTTTTTCAACACGTGTCGATATCGGAATACTAATAAGAGGATAAATTATTTACCACATACAGTAATATATGAAATATGATTAAATTTTCTAAAGCTGACAAAATAAGCAAACAGAATTTCTAAACTGCGCCATAAAAATTTGAATTAATAATTTTGATTTTCGAAACACCGTTACGAGAAAGTCGAATCATATCGATTTGGCGACGTAATAATTTTCTGATGAAAGATCGCGATACTATAGGATTAAGGATTAACACTCACACACATCATATCCTCGTGTCATATGAAATCATCAAGTATCTTTCTCTCTTAATATCGAAAGCGAGAGGTGCCGTACTACGAGGCGAAGGGGAGATCCACTTCCTGGTTGGTATAACGTTCGCTTTCTTTGTTTCGTTTGAGAGCGAAATCTGTACGAGGCGGGAAAAAGACCAGCTCGAGCGCGTTCGAACGCTCATCGCGTGAAAGTACGCGAGCGCCTAGTTTATCTGACCGACAATGTTGCAGTATTACGGCTGCGCCAAGCGCCAGAGCCCGATGCTTACCGCGAACGTGACCTTTTTCTGGTATTTAGAATAGCCAAGGCATTTGCAGAAGACGCTCCGCCGCGCTCTCTTGCCGCACAAATCAATCTTCCATGGCATTCTTTCCCAGGATGGCATTAATGACGACGATGACAGAAGGAGCAACGTGCCGCGTCGCTGCTCCGTCTTCGCGAAATTCTCTCTTCGCTTCACTTCTCTCACGTTTTCCCCTCGATTTCGCCTTTGGCACTTTGCCACATCCACGAACAAAATCATTCACGCGATGGATGGATATACCTAATGATTTCAAACGCGACGAATTAATTTAATATGCATGATTCTACTGTTTGCTATTAATTTCCAATGTTTGCCCGACGCCTCGTGGAATCGATATTCGTGATGAATGGGAAATCCGCGTACACGTAACATAGTCATGCTACAACACAAATAAAGTAAGAGAGTTCTGTTTGAGATAATTGAGTGGCAATTATATTCATATCGGTCTGTACAGACTATTATCAAGATTCGCGGTCGGTTGCATAAGTGTGCGTAACGTTACCGGTAGTTTGTCATGGCTGGCGCAATATACCCAATATATTGTCGTTTATACTATTGAAAACATGGAAAAAGAACCTAGGTTCTTTCGTTACTTGCTTTCCTCTTTCTTCCCAAGGAACCTGCATATGCCTCGGTAAAGTATGATGTAGTGTAATGAAGGAATCCTCAAAAATAAGAAAATTATCACTTTAAATTAATATGGCACAAATATTTATAAGTAAATATCTTTATAATATTTATGAGTAAATATCTTTATTTTATATTTATAAGTAAATATCTTTATTTTATAAAATTACCTAATGTAAAATAATATAAGATTTGTATAGATTACGAATATCTTTGTTATATAAACGTATTTCCAAAATATTGACGATGCTAATCCGGAAATTCCGATTTATTTTATTCCGGATTTCCGCAAATTCGCACCTTGCTCTGGTACAATTTGATATGTGGAAAGCAGAAACAGAACTATTGTACTCCGCAGGGATAGAGAGAAGTTTCGTATCGAACGGAGACACCGTAAGAAGTTTATGTATTTCGACTACAAAGCGAATAGTATCGCTTTAAAGTCACTGTATAACCCCTAAAAGGGTTACTATAGAACGTATTATAGGAACGCGTTTCACTTGATGCTCGTAATGCTTGTGGAATTATTTTATCCATGTTATTAAACAATCAATTTAACATCATTAACTTTAACATCAAATGTTAAACAAGGACAAATAATGCTTGCGAGAGTTACGAGCACTAAATGGAACGCATCCTAGGTCGCACGACGTAATCATTGAAATAAAAAAATTACATTAGAAACATGCGCGAAACACCGCTCGATTTCGAATGCTATGCTATCGATCGACAAATTGATAACGACGCGAAGTTATGCTAATGGACAAATTGTTGTCGTTCGTCGGATTCCAATGGTATCTCGCGCAACTCGTATCGCCGATAAACCAGGGTGCTCGCGTGCCGCGGCCGAGGACATGCATTCATGTAAGTCTTTGATAGCTTTTGTGCAACATTGGCTACGTCGTAATGATCGCCGAGGCTAATTAGGTTGAGCTCCCAGAGTGTTTTAATTCCGATTGGCTTTAGTTAGCTCCATTTTTGGTGACGTTACTGTCGTTTGTTTAGCCATTTGGGACTAATGGACAGCAGACACGGTCCGTGAGTGAGTTACGAACGAATGCCACGAGTTTTTTTTTCTTTCTTTTCCTTGCGACTCCGATGAGAAAACAGCATGTACTTATGATAAATTGTTGCGAAGCGCTTTAGGTACATTTAATCAATCACGCCGATCTTCTATAAAAATGTGCATTTATTAATGAAAATAATAAATTTTCAGTGTGAGAAGCTTTTCTTGTTTTGATGAAAAACACAACGTAAGTGTTTTTAAAATAACATTACTTTGAGATGTGATACACACGATGTGTATCACATCTCAATTAAGAATGCCGAAATTTCTAATTGTTATAAACACATTTACGAAGTAATGGATGAATTTTTTAGTTTCTCAAACATATGTCGAATATTGTGCAAAATGATCAAGCAATTTCGCAAATGGGCACAATTATTTTCAATCGGCTTTGCCAGTGACGGAGGTCACCCATAATTATTTCTACCCGTAATTATTTCTTGTTGATAATAACTATAAAATTACAGCTGCGGCCGTTATGTTAATGTTTCGTTGAATATTGCAATGCGACTAACATAAGTTGACGTAAAGTCTAATGTCTGAATATAAAATTTTATTGGATATTGCCTAGATTTTATTGGATTTTTCTTTATATATAATTTTTCTATGAACAATTATTCGTTTAATTAATTTTATATAAAATTTTGCACTACTTTGTAATCGAACGTTAAACGATGTAAAACATTATTTGCAAAATGAGGATATTAAAAAGAATAGTTTTAGTGTATAATTACACACAGATTTTATTGGACAGATGATATTTAAATCGAGTATCAATATACAGGGTGAATCAGAATCGTTTGAACCAGCTTTTTACCCTATGAGAAAATAATTTACTGCACACGTTATAATTCAATTAGGTATGAAGTCGATAATTTTCTCATAGGATGAAAAATTGGTTCAACGACTCTCTGATTCACCCTGTATTATTAAAAATTAAAATGTAAAATGTTCGATATAATGGAATCGCATAATCTTTCATTATGCGCGTATCGTGCTACTTGTTGAAGATCGAGGCTGTTGCACCAGAGGTCGTACATCAAAATCGTCCCGTCACGTACGATGACAAGCAAAATGAAACTCAAGGAGTCGCCTTTCACGAAGTGTTTACGGTAGTGGAACAAGACATCGTCTTACTTTGACACGTTGTTTACGGGGCAGGCAATCTGATTCTGTTACAGCTACGCTTCGTAGTAGTTTGAATGGAACTTAACCGATTGCCCCTATATTTTAAGATGCATTTCCAATCAATATAACGCGCAATACACTTTACTGTCTTCATAATTCGATATAAATATATCGAGAAATAATAATTGTAATTTAGAAATATGGAGAGACGTAAAGTTTAGAAAATATAACTAAAATTTTTTTCATAAAATGCAAAATGAAATAAAATATGCAGTAACAGTACTATAAAGTTTGTTGAATTATGTAATGTTTATTTAATAACTAATTATTGGTTACGTGTCTATTATGGCTGAAATAATAATTCATTCTCTTGGTTCATATATTATTCTGTAATAATGTATTCTGTATTCTATATTCTATAATAATTAGATTATTAAACAATCATTAATTTTAGAAAGATTGGACTTTTATTTTGCATATTTGCATTACATGTTTTACTTGTCTGTATTATCACGACATTATCACGAGATCGAATTACGTAACTAAAACAAACGCGAATGGCGCTCAAAATATGCGATGTCGGTACACAATCTATAGATACAACACCAGCTGTTGTGATGTTAAACGTATTCCATAATGTTTCTTCAGTTATGCGTATTTAACGTTTTGGCATATCGCTGTGAAACGCAGTACAATTCGGTTATAATTAGCAGTGGGGGTAAATTTCACAGGCATCGCGGGATTCACAAAGGCTTATATAGACATAATTTCGCGCGAGGTGCTGCGTTTTACGAGGCAATTGTAACGAAGGTTGCACCGCGCGAAATGGCGCCATCGATTGTTTGTCGGTGTTGTAAATCCAATTGCCATTTTTCCGGTGTTCTATCGGAGATTTAATTTTGCTAATCGCTCAAATTTTAATAACTTTTTTTTTTTAAATACCTGCATCGATTTTTCTCCGGTTGTTTTGAAAAGAGATTTTCGACGAGGAGGCTATCAATCTCCAACGGAACACTAATTGAAAGGTGGTAATTGTATAGTTGTAAGTTAGATCCATTAAGTCTGTTTAGGTTGCTTGCACTTTTTGCACTCTTCGCTTCCTTTGTCTTCAACGCACCAATATAAACGTATATATCTCATTCTATAAGTGCAAAAATTTTTTGGGAATTTCAAGGAACACGAATAGACTTCTTGATGGAGCAGATCACTGAGCTATATGCGAAACGAATGGAAAGAGAAAAAGAATCGGAGAAAGACCTCCGAACAGAGAGAAGCAGCTTGTTTATGGACCAGCAGCTTTCATTCTGTTACATTTAGATTCCGCTGTGCACGTGCACCGGGTGGCATTGTTTCACTTTGGGACTTCCCTATTGCCAGAAACACACGGCCACTGTCTCGCCTGACACCGCAGCGTCACTTTATTGCGACGTTACGTTTCCACCATTAGTCACTGCAATCTCCCCACCAGCGAAATTGGGCTATTACCAATTCGCGCGTGTGTGTGCCTCACATTGGTTTAAAAGGAAGCAACGAAAGAACATGCGCGTGATTCTTTCGAACATAAATTCGCGTGTAGTAATTTATTATTCCTGTTATTTCTTGATTGAAGGACGTAATAACGATAATATAATATAGCGAATGAGAAGACACACTTTGATCAACGCGTATTTCTGTAAAATAATACATTATTATCGGAATCGTTTTATCAAGACATGTTATTATTAAATAGAGATAGATATTTAACTTTCTTCTTCTCATCATCGTCTTCAAATCAAAAATATACGCGAGCGACTGTGAATGCCTTTGGCAGTCCTGAAGATGGATATTGGAAAGACTTTCAGCGAAAATTACTATGATTAATGTTGCTTTGACTTGAAGAAACTGAAATGATATTACGTAACTTTCAGGAAGAATATTAGACATTGCCTGGTGGAAAAAAAAACACAAGAAGTACTGCATTCAAATGTTGAATTTAAATGTAAATTTTATTTCGAAAAAGAAATTTCTAGTAAATAACTATCAGTTCACTTTACAAATAGATAATTTTCTGTATAAATTATACAGACACAGGAATACAAATTTCTCTCTCTCTCTCTCTCTCTTTGTAGTTGAAAAATATGCTTTATACGTGCATTGTTTCTTAACAGCATAAATCTTGCAACATTTATTTTACGCCACGCTTGTTTTGTGTCACGTCGAAACTTATTGCCCACGACTAGCTGTTGCTTTTTTTTCTTTCTGGATACCGATTGCCAAGCTCGCTTGGACGGAAGTCTGATAATCGCATGTGCGTCAACAACATTCATGCTTGTGTGAGCCGTTGTTACGCAAGCTGAAGTTTTCAACCGTAAAGACTGGACCTCCTGATAACTACGAGGCTTCGGGCTAAATCGATAATCAAATATACATACTTGCGGCCGTTCTTACATCGCTGATTGGATAAATAGTGACGCATGGCGAGTATTTTCATTACAAGTTCTCTCATTGATGCTTTCTCGCTAAGATGTTTAAGAACTTTTTTTTTTTAAATCTTAGTCATCAAATTATACGTCTCTCTTGCGAAAAGTATTAATAATTTAAATTACGAATAATAATGCAGCAGCAATGAATTTTATAACTGACGACTAGCATCACGATATTTGCGTTTCTTTCAAGAAGTTTATAACCGCGATTGTGAGTACCAAGTAATATGTGGTTCTTTAAATATTGTTAATAAAAGTCTACAGCAGAGAGAGACGTTTTCTACATAAAATATTGTGCAGTAAAAATTTTGAACTTCCGGGATTTTTGTTACGTGATATAACAATGATTATATATCATGTCTATTATACATCAGCATTTGTCATATCTCGGTGAGATTTTCAGCAGGACGAATGTATGATTCAATACTTGATCGTGAATGGCGGATCTTCCGATACAATTATATGACATGTTCCGATTCTCGTGGATTCTTTAGTGCTTACTCATAGTCGGCACTCTTTTCGGTAGCTTTAAAGATCGAAGCCCCTAACGCAGATGTGACACTAGTGACATAGAGATTAATGCGAGTCGGAGTATTCCGACACGCGACGATGTTCGCCCACTGCGTTCACGATTGGCTCGTGGAACAGATGGAGGACGCGCGACGATAATTTTAGACATTAGCAGCATTTCCGTGTGTGTCAGTGGGTCACCTTATCTCGCAGGAATGCGTTTTCTCGCGGTGTACGCGCGGAACGCGACCCTCTCAAACGGAGGAGGCGTCGACCGTGAAAAAATACTAGAGCGTGTGCACGTACAAGACGTACATCCGATGAGTGAAAAGCGGTCGAATATCTGCAGATCCTTTTACGCAATTTGTGCAATTTCAACGTCTCCCACGAAATTCCGTCCGACGTGATAACAAAGCAGAATCAAATATCCTCTCGCATTTTCAACGATTGCAATTTATGCCAGCTGTCGTTTATAGAGTTTAAGATATTTAATTCCTATAATATAGGCAACACTTCCTGAGAGAAACTCGATGAAATTTCAGTCTTACTTAATTCTGATATTATATGTATATACAATATTTTGTTCAACGGAATTAGAGTTTATAATTTTTTAGGGAAATTCCTTGAAAGGAGAAATAGAGAAGCAGTTGTAGCTTAGTGTAGTGTTAATCTCTAGGAAGAGACAATAGAACTTAAAAGATTAGATATATCGACCGAGATTGACTTAATCTGCTGATCATAGTCCAATCTAACTTTATGATTTCACACTATCGTTAATCACACAATAAGGTACAGTATAATGACTAAAGTTCTATTTCACACGCGATACCACTTGTTATCTCAGAAAATTATCGTCGAACTGAAAAGCTTACTGCTGATTAATTGCTTCTTCCACTGGACTCGAAGACGTATTTCACACCCTAGATAACGTTCAATTTAAAAAAAAATATGAATCTCAGATCATGGGAGGCGTTTTAAATCCTCCACCCAAAATTATTTCAATGATTGAAACAATTTGAATAATAAAAAGTGCATCTTTGTCTGTATTCATACCAACCGAGCGCGCGGATGTTATTTCATTGTGCAGACTTGATCATGAAATTAATTTGCGTGTAATGAGCTCTGCTGCAAAAAAATTGTAGCTTATTTTATAGTTTGTTTGCCAGATGTCAGTCGTTAGCCAGGCGCTTCGTGAATGTAAATTTATCCGGTTGGGTAATATACATGCAGCCGCTCTCGCATAAACGTAGAAAAATAAACGCCACTTGATCCTTCGAATACGGATACCGCTCCTTCTCTCTCGCCATTTCCTGTCCTTGGCCGTATCTCATTCTCCGCGCGAGAGTTCGATCATGGGCTTCCCTTTCCTCCGAAAGGTCGCCGATCAACCTCGGTCAGATCCATCCACTCCGTCTCGTAAAAGGGATGCTATCGATGAGATGGTACAAGGCTACCCTCTTACAAACTGGATTCTCTCTCTCTCTCTCTCTCTCTCTCTCTCCTCCCCTCTTTCTCTTTCATTCCTTTCTCTTCGATTCGTCCAACGTCATTAATACGAGGGAGACTCTCGTTAATTAGTTGCCGAGTAATTTTCCTCAACTCGGTTTTAACAACTCCGAGACGAGCCGTAAAATCTATAAACCTATTCTGTAAACTATTTCAATCTATTCTTGGATCAAGAGACGTTTCTCTGTTCGTTGAACATCTACTTTTTCACTGACTTTTTTTCGTATAGTTAAATTTTTTGCGCTTATTAATTTTTTCTCAAATGTAGCTATGATGATTTTTTTTTAAATAATTTTTCTAATTGTATGAAAATAAATTTATTTCTTTTTTATATCATAATCCTGAAAATTTCGAAAAATAATATAAATTTCTATAATTAACTAACGTAAAATAATTTCAGTAATTTAACTTTACTATGTTGCGCGTACATTGTGTTATTTTTTAATTTCTAAATCTTTCTATTTCTAAAATATACTTAAGTGTTAGTTTCTTGAATGTCTTTTTGCTAATATATTTTTTCGCTCGGTATTGATTATGTTAAAACTGTTTTGTAATTAAACGTTTGAAAAAGATTAATTGTATCATTCTAAATTATAGTACAAGATGCAACTGCTCATAAAAGTATACTTAAAGATATAGCAATGAATTATAATTGGACTTACGGAACTTATTTAAAAAAACAAGCAAAGACGCTATGATAATTATACTCTGCAATATAACATAATATCGTTGCATGTACTCGAGTCGAAATGGTCTCATTAATATGCATGACGGTTATTTTTGGAAAAACGTAATCGCTGGAAGGAATAAAAGATTTAAAGAAACATGTTGATCTCTCTTGTTGTAAACTTTTGACCCTTGGATCACAGAATGCGAATCAATTGGTTCTTTGCGATATCTCTCAACAATTTCAGAAAAAGATACTTATAATATAAAGACAATAATGTAGTTGAATATTTTAAATCAATATATATCGATATGTATTATCAAGAATATTCGATACGTACAATAAATTTCAAATATTTTTAATTTATGCATTTTTTAGTGAATCCCATACGATAACTGTTTTTACTCAAAAACCTCTCGTGTATAATTACTTTCAGAATATTTAAAATATTTCATATTATAAAGAAAGAGAAAATACGATAAATAATTTCTGTCAAAAATGTTCAAGAAATTATTAATCCCAACTTTTTATATTTTTGTGATTAGATAGTACGAGCGAAGCTCATAGTTCATGCGTTATAAATAAATAGAAGTTCAAAAAACTACACGATAAATATCGAGTAACTTAGTAATAATCTTATCATTTCATTCCAACGATGTTTGAATAGTTAAGACATGAATTATATTTTTAAATACGTACAATTAGAGAAAAATAAAATTATTGTATAACTGCATAATAATTTTAAAGATAATACAATTACTGTAATTGTACGCGACACTTAATCGTGTACAATTCCAGACATCTGAAACCACAAATAGCTTGCATCACTTGCGCGACAACTGAAAGAAATCATGCTCATGAATAACAACAATATCTCCCATATTTTCAAATTAATGAAGGCTTTTAATGTTCGTTAATTACATT